AAAATGCCATGACAAAGCTCATTTGTCATCTTAAGAGAGAGCATGCTATGGCTGTGAAATACCAGAACCAGTTTGTATAGACAAAAACACTGGATTTTATTTATTTCTAACATAACTTTGTACACCGAAGTTGCTGGTTAGAGGGGCATCAAGTTTGTGCTTTTGACTGTTAAGTCTGAGGTATCAAAGATTTTTAAAAACTAATTTTTTAATCTCTGTAGGTTCTTTAAAAGGAGTCAATCTGGAAGTCAGGTAAAGATTTGAATTTTAGACAACGTCTTATTATCTTTTCTGCAGGTATCAGTATTTCTAGATGAGGATCTACACATCAAACCTTTCAATAAGTTTGACAGAGGAGAGTGGATGCATAAGGAGTCCACAGACACTACCACTAGTCGCTATTGTATTACCTTTGGATTTGCCAGCATGATCCAGAAAGAGGCTGATTTTTCAGAGGGAAACTTCAGTAAAACCCTACCTTTACCATTGACTGTTCAGTCCAAGCAACAGGTGAAGTGCTTTCCTGCCATTGAAAGTTTGTGTTGTGTTCTTACGGATGCTCATACCAGTTTTGCAACTTATGCTTTTAGAATTTATGTTATTTAAGTTATCCATATTAATCTTATGGTGATTTCATGGAAAATCAGGAGACTTCTTTTTTTTGTTCTCATTTGCGTGCTTAAGTCAGAGTTCTCAAATCTAAGAACCAAGCCACTACAATTATCTTGCATTAATTTTTTTTTCGTGCTTTCTTCTTTGCAACTTTTATCTTTCCATGGCAAGGTTGGGTGCCCTGATTGCTTCTCGGTATGAGTGATTCAAGCAAGCTTTCCAGACTTTATGGGTTATGCAAGTGTAGGGCATGAAGCCAGCAAAGCTACTTTTTGCCACCTCTGATTCTGCACAGATTGACATGATCAAAGCAGCATGCATAAGGTATGATTTTCTCTTTTCTTATCACAACAGTGAGAGAGAGAGAAAAACAAACAAAGCACTCACACATGGCAATACTTGTAGAATAAAGGCCATCCTGGTTGTCCTGGCTATATCCCCAATCCCTATCTATGGAAGTCAAAAGCCTGTGGTTACAATACATGAAACATTGTTTACCTTAGTACCTTTATGGATACTAATAAGAAGCTTTCTTGATAGAGGAACTTTGTTTCTCTAGAACTTGGCAATCCTCATCACAACTGTAGTAACACAATCAAGAACTTGAGAAACGAAGAAAAAATTCACATGTAGAGCCCAGGAAGACTCACATGTAGGTTTGAGAGCTGTTCCAAAAATCTTGAGGTACTTGTTAAGATGCTAACTCAAACCCAAACACATTTTCATACCCAAATGGCTCTCCAAAACTATTGCATTTGAGCACCTATCAGCATGCATAAGCCATTGCTTTTGTAATAAAAGCTCAGAACTGGGTTGGA